TAAACACCAAAGATGTTTAGCAGTATCTCCTCTGTAAAAGCTCCCAAAATGACTAAATAAAGAGCATGAAGGCAGCATAACAGCAGTTCATGTGACTTGTGCGCTATATTAGTTTTCTGAAGTCCTGCGTATGAGAAACATTTTCATGTCTGTTCCTCACACAAACCATCAAATGCCTTCAGAAGTCGCATGAGCTGCTGTTATAATGCTTTAGTGATGTTTGGAGGTCCACAAACTCGTGATAGGACAAGTAAATCTAAAAGAAAATAAATGTAAATAAATAAATAATATTAGTATTATTAAAAACAGCAATAAGACCTAAAAATAAAAACAAAAAAATATATTTTAAAACTATAAATAAAACATTTAATGTGATCATTTTATTTATATTATTTATTAGTATAATTTTTGTTATTATTAATAATATTAGTATTATTTAAAATAACAATAAGACTAAATAAGATAAAAATATATTTATACATAAAATAATTATATTTATACACGCTTAAAAATAATGCATGCAAAAGAGCAGTCACCTGTCCCTCTCTTTCTCTCTCACGCTCTCTCTCTCACTTATTCTCGGCAACTTCAGTTGACATGACAACAGGGCCCGGGTCGAGAGATGTGGGGGGGTGTTGCCATGGCGACGGGTGGCCCCTCTGGAGTGGGGCCCGGGCCGCGTTACAGGTTGTTCCGCTGTAAACAATGAGCTTGTTGTGCGTCTGCAGCTCTGGAATGCACTTAATTAACCAGACTGCACTTCTGTGTGTTACTGATGCTGTAATGATGGCTTTATATGTTCACTATAGAGCAGCGTAACATGATTCAAAATCAAACTAAATATGCTTATTTTACAGCTGAAAATCAAGATGTAAAATGACATCATATTTCTTATATTAATTTGGTACCTCAACAACTTTTATTTAAAAAACATGGTTCCTGCCAGGCTTTTATTGTAATTGCAAGACTAAAACTTTAAAACTATAACAAAAAATTACTTGAAATAAAATAAACATTAAATTAAATATAAAAAACTTAAACTTATTTTAATTCACCAAGTTGTCAAGGCAACAGTTCTCGTTTTTGTTTAGCTTTAAATCTAAAAAACATCATTAAAAATTATTTGGACAAATAAAAAAAATGACAAGAACACACAACAAAATTACTAAACCTTTAAAATTAAAGTGAAAACTGAATATATAAAAATAAATAAGAATATTAACAAAAACTGTAATAGTATATCAGTGATACTAAAATAATATGGCTAAATGAGGGAATTTTAAAAGTGTGATTTCTAGACCTTTAAGTGTCATAGAAATTAATAAAATATTAAAAAGTCGTTTAAATTTCTATATTGAATACACATTGAGAAATTGCTTAGTAAAAAAATTTATAAATTATAAAAAATTATAATAATAAACTTGTCTATAAAATTCAGTTCTTGCAACTTCTGGAATTAAAGAATGTAATTATTAATATTTAAAATACTTTATTAAAATCTTTTAATATATTACCATTTCTAATAAGCAGTTACTTTAAAAAATACATTTAATTACATTAGCAACATGCGAGTAAACTTGTTAATCATGCTAACAAAATGCTAGCACCATGGTAGTAATATGCTAATCATGCTTGAAACATGCTAACAAAGTGCTAGCAACTTGCTAAACATGTTAGAAACATGCTAACATCGTGCTAGTAACATGGTAATCATGGTAGCATCATGCTAGTAACATGTTAATCATGCTAGAATCATCTTAAACAACATGCTAGTAACGTTAATAATGCTAGAATCATGTTAACAACATGCTAGTAACTTGCTAATCATGCTAGAATCATGTTAACAACATGGTAGCAACATGCTAATCATGTTAACACCATGCTAGTAACTTGCTAATAATGCTAGTAACATTGCTAATCATGCTAGAAACATGCTAGTAACTTGCTAATCATACTAACAAAATGTTAACACCATGCTAGTAACATGCAAATCATGTTAACAACATGCTAGTAACATGTTAATCATGCTTACAAAATGCTAACACCATGCTAGTAACATATTAATCATGTTAGAAACATGCTAGTAACTTGCTAATCATGCTAACAAAATTCTCACTTTGTCCTTGTAGTGCAGCTTGTTGAGTTCTCTGGCTGCACCTTCAACGTATTGTGCCTGTCTCAACAGTCTGTTCTTGTAGTTCTCTGATTTGTTCAATATCAATCCTGGACGAAGTAGACTCACACATTGGAGGTAGTGTTTTAGTGCATTGCCCCATCAGAGCCATTGCTGGTCCGAGTTGGTGTATTCTGGTGATCCAGCATTGCTAAGTAAGGATCTGCTCCTGCTTTCTTTGGTCTAGCCATGAGTCTTTTATGGTTTTCAGAGTTTACTCCACTTTTCCATTACTTTCAAAGTGAGGATATTTTGTGCTTAAAGTCCCAGGCTTCGCTGAATGTCTTAAATTCATCAGATGAATACTGAGGTCCACTGTCTGAAAACACAATATATAGAATTTCATATCTTGCAAAATGAGCTTTCAATTTGTGTTTGACTATTTTTGACTGTGTGTTTTCCAGATGATCCACCTCTCAAAAATTGGAAATATAATTCACTGTGATCATATAGTCTCTGTCACTGAACTGCAACAAGTCTGTTTATTATCTTTTCCCAGGGACGAGTTGGTACTTCATGAGACTCAAGGTCTATTTCAGTTGTTTCACTGTCTCGTGCTGAGCAGGTGCTGCATTGTTCCATAAATGTTTTCAAAAGTGCATTTATGTTAACAAAATGTTAACACCATGCTAGTAACATGCTAATAATGCTAACAACATGTGAGTAACATGCTAATCATGTTAGAAACATCCTAGTAACTTGTTAATCATGCTAACAAAATGCTAACACCATGTTAGTAACATTTTAATCATGCCGGAATCATGCTAGCAACACATGTTAGTAACTTGTTAATTATGCTAACAACATGCTAGTAACATGCTACGCATGTTAGAAACATGCTAGTAACTTGCTAATCATGCTAACAAAAT